GTATGTTTCTAAATATAAATTTAATCTAAACAAACGCCGATATTAAAATAAATATATAATAACAAATTCGTTACAGTGGTAATTTAATTTCAGAAACTCAGTATTGTTAGCCCCCCAGTGGCATAGCGGTATGTCTGCGGACTTACAACGCTAGAGCGCCCCCCCAGTGGCACAGCGGTATGTCTGCGGACTTACAACGCTAGAATCCGGGTTTCGATACCCGTGGTGGGAAGAGCACAGATAGCCCATTGTGTAGCTTTGTGCTTAACTACAAACAAACAAACAAACAGTATTGTTATGCCAAAAAAAAACGAGTAATTTAATGAAACAATAACTATTTAGTAAAAATGGTAATATTTTAGATTTCTTTTCTTTTCACGAAAAGTAAAATAGAAAATACAATCTATGATATAGAGGCCTAATTAAGACTAAAAATTCCGTAAGTATTTAGTAAACATATATTCTTGGGGAATAAAAACAAAGTTGGTAAATTAAATTCAAAGAAACTACACTATTGCATCACCGAGTTTCTTTGAATTTGAATTATGTAGAAAAGATATTTTATAAAGAAGAATCCATAATACAGCGATTTTTTTTCGTTATGAAAAACAAACTAAGTAAGTTAAGGACAACAAATAACCTTTGAAATGTGACAAACTTCAATTGCATACTACAGTTTATAAGCATGCTATTAAATGCCGAACGCTTGGTGACTGTTTTGACAGAGTCCCGCATGAGTGATGTTCTGGTAAACACAAAAAGTGGGACATTCTTGGGTCAAGGACGAAAGGCTTGAAATCACTAATAAATACCAAAATGGCCTTTTCCACCCAGCATCGTAGGCATTGACACATATATAGATAATAATGTGCTATTGGGGTTACGGAAGAGTTACATAATAGCAATATTATCGTCTGTTTTGTAAAGCCATGCAACACAATCAATACACAGAAGTGAAAAAAAAAAGAGATTAAATACAACATTCACATAACAAACTTGGTTATAACTTTAAAGGAGCTAAATAACTATTATAGGAGAAAATCAAAACGTCATTTTGTTGTTGTGAAGTAATTGGAAACACATAACAGATTTAAGCTTCAAAAAGTAATTTCTAAAATATATTTTTGTTAATCAAGTCTATGGTAATATGATTCAGATCTATAATATACTGATTTATTCATAATTATTCAAGAACATTTGTAGTCAAGGCTAATCTAGTATCTTAAAAACAGTGATGTCTTCTAAAATATGATATTTTTGTAGACTATATTTTCATTTTTAAATGTGAAAGTTTGTATTTTTTTTGGCGAGAGGGAGGTTTTAATGTCAGCAAATGTCTTAATTACTGGAGATATGCTAGATTCATCTGTTTTGAACATAGTTTGGATGTTGTTGTTTTCCAGTAGATAAATCAAGTGAACCTGAAAAATGAATTAAATCTCCTTGCTTTTTTTCTTTGTTGTTATTGTTCGAAGACGAGCTTGATGATGATCCTAAGAAAAGTGATGATGAAACAGGTGTCTTAACGATGTGTTTTGTTCAAGATTTTATGAAGCTTATTATGATTAATTCGCTTCAAACACACTCGTATAAAGTTAATTACCTCCTTCTGCAACATTTCTAAAACACTTATGCAGCCCTAAACATCTACACTGTGATAAAATATTGTAAGCACATGCTGTATTGATACATTTTATTTGCCATATTTATGATGTCGTTGTTCCTCTCGTAAATTTCTATAAAGTGTTGACTTTCACTACTCTGACGGCAACACGTTATGTAAATGAATTATCCTGTTAAAAAATTAAACCTGTCTCAACTGGAGGCTAGCCTTGTCTTTTCCTAATCTTAAGCTCATTCTATTATCTTCATAATATAGCACAAAAAATATCAAAGGCATTTATTATATCAATTCAACCAAATAATCTTGTTGAAATCAATAATATTTCAGCTTATCCTTCTTTTTCCAAGAGAAAGTAACTTTAGGGGTCCTAACTTATCCATCTAAGATAACCTTTCTATCCTAGGGATCATCCTAACACTCCTGCTCTGAATAAGTTTCAACAACAGTGGGCAGCCTTCCAACTGTTGGCTGTAATAACTATCAAGCATTAGTGGCCATTTTACCAAACAGGTTTGGAGTGTCACATCAAAAGCAAGTTTCTAAAGCAAAGCTTATGAGCAGAGTAAGGAGGAAGGAAGAGGCTTTAGCCAAATTTACAGACGATACTGAAAGACTTGTCTGATTATCTTATTCAGGTGCACCATGTGAAATGATGGATTCGTTGGCACTTGACTAATTAATATATATCCTAGTGGATGAAGATATGCGAATTAGTCTAAAGGAAAATAAGCGTGTATTTTTAAAGAAAGCTGTCCACTTGGCAACCGAACTTGAATAATTTAAATTTGCAGATAAACAAATGAAAGAAACATCCAGAATTTACAGGATCGTCCAATAAAACAGTGTGGAAACATTAACTCCATCAGGTGGAAGTCTATAAGATTCCAAAGGATTAATTATACAACTATATATTCAGAATGGAAGAAGTACACCACATGACAACAAAAATAGGTACAGCTTCCAAGGGAACATGTGCAACATGTGTGGCTAATCAATAAAGAAGAAGAGTGAACATTGGCAATATACTTCACGAGGAAACAGATGTGAGGTTAAACGTCCTCTGAACATTTTCACAGTCTACGACAAGGAAATCCCTGTGCATTACAATACAATTATAAAGATTCCACTTACAGTGAGAATAATAACACAATCACGATATAATGAAGTCATCCCAACTAAAGTGCAACAGTTTGTTTGGTTGTTTGAAGTTAAGCACAAAGCTATACATTGGGCTATCTGTGCTCTGCCTATAAAGGGTATCAAAACCCAGCTTCTAGCGTTGTAAGTCCGCAGACATTCCTCTGTGCCACTGGGGGGCAACGTGCAACAGAGTGGAAAACAGAAAAACAGGTAGTTGTCTATGGAAGCACGTCAACAGGAGAGTGGGCTCAGAAAATATTTCATTAGAAGTTAAATCAAAAGGTTCCTACTAAACCACAGAAAGAAAACTGCCAAATACATTTGGTGTCAGGACAATTTAGAGGCAGTAAATAAAAAAAAGATAGTATACAGTTCAAAGCTTATATATATATCTTAAAACGAGTGATGTTTCCGAAATTTATACATTCTACTTTGTTTCAAAGTTCTTTTTATTAAATATTTATCACTAAGTAAAATAAATATTGATATATATTGAACTGGAAATGTATGGACAAATACGCTAATCTTTAAATATCAGTTCCAGATTTTTCTTAACGAATTTCAAAAAAAGACCCAAAACTCGAGCACTTTCAACTAGTTCACTATTATTCGTCTTCGATATCCTCCTGAGAAAGAACAGTCTAATATTCAAAAGTACTCGAGTTTGGGGTCTCTATTTTTTTTAAAATTTATTGTGTGTGATCCTGTGTACTAACTCTTTTATCAGAAATGTTTAAAATTAAGTTACTTAGTTAATGCAACAGGTTTTCTTGAAGTATGTTTGAGGTTTTCTTCAAAACTTCTACAAATTTCGAAACGTTTTGTTTGAATTTTCACGAAAGCTATTCCCTTATGCTTTACAAGCTTTTTTAAATATAGAATTCAACTTTATTTGTAGACAAATAACGTTCTTGTGAATGTGACGGGCCAAATTAGTAAGTGAATATTATTATTCAGAATTAATCTTTTTTTTTATGTGTTTAATTCATTCAAGATAGGCAAGCGTCTTTATGTTATAGTTTAACGACGTTGCCTATCTTGAAATATCTGCTGCACTGTGGCACAGAAAACAAAATCTTACCTCTGACACCGAAGAATCTCTTCTGGAACGACCAATGGTCGGAGATGACCCAAGTATCGCGTTATTTATAGATATTGTATCTTGAACCTGGGATGATACTAGTGTTTTCCACTGATAACAGCTGGTCAATAAATTTTTCTTATGTTCTAGACTCGAAACGGTGTCGGTATTGGTACTATTACTAACCAGACTAGGATTTGTGGAAACCTTTAGTAGTATTGAGGATGTTAATTGCTTGGTTTGGTCAAGTTTATTTTTACAAATTTCGAAGGTTTTACTCTTCAACTCAAAATTTGAGTCGCTAAGACTGCGAAACCCAGTTAACACTGGTGTTGAAGATCCACTAACTGTATCTCCATTATATCGAAGTGTTAAAGAACGCAATGAGCTTGTTCTTTGAGTTGGTACTGGAATAAACGTGGCAACATCGACCTCCGAAGGTTTTTCGCTTAAATTTTTTGAACTTTGAAGACAGTTAGACAGAGTAGGATCCGAGGGTTGACCTGTCGAAGAACTTAAATGACACACGATGTCACTGTCATTACTGTTACACTTGTAATGTCCTGGCGTGTAAAGTGATATCACGTCCACTGTCGGCACGCTACGCTTGAAGCCTGTGATAGTTAAAACCGGCATCACTGGCACTTGTACTTGATCTCGCTCGAACGGCATTGCTTTCTCACAAAAGTAGTCAAGTGAGAGTCTGTTCTAAAGGTCACCAACTTTGGAGTTAGTTAATAGTGGTAAAGTTAAACACTATTTATAAATACAGCTGCAGCCGAAACTAAGTTCACTGAGCTCACACTTCTTCCAAAAATCTTCATGTAATGTTTGTTGTTGGACAAGCTTCTGAAAGAGAATTGATAAGAAAACCTGAAATCAATGATATAGATATATTCCAATGTTAAATTTTTACGTTAGTTTTATTTAAGCGCAAAGCCATTCAGTTTCTTTCCAGCGTAAAATATACCGCACTCTGCGAATATACTGAATAGACTTCTAGGCCAACAACGATACAAACAGTTGGCGTTAGTTTGACTCTGATTGGGTTAATATGAATCAGTTCGCCCACTGACATACCTTCAGCATCGTGACGTCTTTTATGTGTAACTCACCTGCTCTCAACATTACGCATGATACTAAGAATTCTATTACAGTACAATGGCGCATGCGCAATAAAAAGCAGACGCGGGTTGTTATTCATGTGAAGACCGGTACAGGTACGAAATGTGAAAGGCAGACTTTCTTCAATGTTTTAGTACTTTTCTTTTTTACTTTTCACAGACAGTCAGAAACCTAAAGAACTATCTCGATATATCTATGTATCTATTTATATAAACATATATAACCAATGGTGTCGCTAAATGACATCACGGTTAAATAATCCATGGTTATATGTATTAGATGACCGGTAAGAATTATAATCACTATTTTCATATGTTTACGAACTTACACCTGATTTTTAATAAAATTATACATGCTTTGCAACAACCGAAAAATGTTTTTTAGACTCACAACATCGAATTAAATTTGGCGTTTATCACAGTTTCATCACGATAGACTAAAAAAAAAGAAAAAAATCTGCCCCCCAATGGCACAGCGGTATGTCTGCGGACTTACAACGCTAGAATCCGAGTTTCGATACCCGTGGTGGGCAGAGTACAGATAGCCCTTGTGTAGATTTGTGCATAATTAAAAAAACAAAACAAAAAACAAAAACAAACTAAAAATCATAAATAAAAACAGTTTTAGAAAACCATCAGATAGATTCTAAAACTGTATCTAATTCTGGTTTTTTAACGTTAAAATCACAATGTAAATGTTACTGATAGAAATTAATTTTCCAGACCTTTCACTTTGGCTCCCCAGTGGCACAGCGGTATGTAAGCGGATTTACAACGCTAGAAACCGGGCTTCAATACCAGTGGTGGACAGAGCACCGTGTAGCTTTGTGCTTAGTTACAAATAAACAAACCTTTCATTTTGATATAAAGATTTAAAACCTCACTAAAAGCTCGAAATTATCATTCTTTTAACTTTCATTATCAAAGAGCGAAACCTTCGGATAGTGCTCTATTTATTGAACTGCTTTGAGGCTAATAAATCCTGTTAAAATTTTGTTCTGGTTAAGGTGGCGGGTAATTTATTTCAGCTTTCTGAAAAGTGACTTTACTATTAGGAGTAGAGTAAAATACGATCTATATTTGAGAGATTCGAAAGAAAAGACATCTAGTATCTGCCTTACAGATAGATATAGATAAACACAAGAATAGATAAAAAAAATGCATTCCTCTAAACAGATTATAAAAGCAATACGAAGGTCAAGCTCGACTTTTGTTACTGATTGTTACTTATTCAATGGTCTTAATCACTATATTAAAAATTAATATTATTACATCTTTACTTCTAGATAAAAGCGAATGATTCTATTGTTTTCAGTCACACACTAATCGTAGTATCATGACGCAATACTCATTGATTGATATCATGTTTTTGATAGGCTGTCCGCAGATGTGTGTGACGTCATCGATCAGAACCTGCTGGAAATATTTCTACAAGTTAATCGAGAACTTCTCATGGTATTACAGTGTAAAATAAATATTGATATTCGAAACTTTCTGAAATGGAATGCACATTAATGTTGAAGAACCATTAGTCTGTCGACAGTTATACTCTTAGTAAATAAATTTCAATGATTAGATAAACATTTTCGAAATTCTTTAAAGAATTTTAACTAGAGAAATATTTTAACCGCTTTTCTCAAGGTAGCATACGTTTTACTGTGGTATCCAAGACTAGCGACATTCTTCTCAGCAGAGGTTCACCGCCATCACACATTACCAAAGCTTTAAAACTATTCTAATGCACAGGAAACGAATTACCACAAACTAATTATTATGTTCACGTAATCTCAGCTATGTGTTTTAACGAACAAACAAACAAAAAAAAATCGTAGTTTGCGCATGCGCATATGCATTTTCTGTTGTCACGCTCTAAGCGATTAGTTTTTACTTGATGCTCGAAGTCAGAAGTCTCATTACTCACGCAATTGACTGACGACGTACGAATAGAATGTTAAACACTATTTGTTTGAAAGGATGTTCGTTATCGTTATAAATTACTTTAAAATCTAAGAACAATATATATTAACAGTAAAAGGCTGTAATAAATTTTTGAAAAGCTGTATCACTGATTATGATTATAACACAAGTGTAGGTTTTGTAATATTAAAATAATATTGTATTATTGTAATATTAAAGTTTACAACTCACGAATGGCTTTTTTAATGTTATAGTTATAGTGTTGAATGTAGGTAGAGACACTAGTTACAAATCAAGTATAGGTTCTTGTAAAATTGGAGTATTAAGAAAGAAAAATTAACAGAAACTATGCAGGCTAAAAATTCAATATTATATATATATTTGTTGATGGGTATCCCCCACCCCCCGCAATATGGGTCCTTTTTCCGCAGTCACTTCCAAAACCCAGGGCACATCTTATATCCCACATCATACGCTGTGCCTTGGTGTTCTGGTGATCTTTTGCAAAGTTTCAGTTAAATTTTTCTGTTGTAGTTGTAAGGCTTATTTTGATAATTAAAATGATTTTTTTCGTCACAGGTTTGGGCTTGCTTTTTTTTTTTTTAACTACAGATCTTCCTTTTGGTGTTAATATTTGCTTGACTGTTGAAATAGTGTTTTCTCATACATA